TATTTTTAATTTTATTTATTTATTTATGTTTGTGTGTGTGTGTATGTGTGGCCAGCTCAGCCCACCAGGGGGCGGGGCAGGCTGGCTTGTGGTGCTGGGGGATCAAACCGTGGTCCTTGTGCTTTGCCAAGCTTGTTGAAGTAGGTGCTTTAGACCACTGAGCCATTTCACCAGCCCCTAAATAATTTATTTTATTGATTATTTTATGTTCCTGTTAACCATACACTGTATAACACAATAAGAATCTCCTGAGAAAATAGCAAGACAACTGAGATGTCGAGTAAATATTGTCCAGGACTATGAGCTCTCAGTGCTGTGGTTTTCACCCTACTGTACCTACCTAAGCCTTACACTTTGCTCAGTGTGCTTTCTCCCACTCAAACTTGTATTGGACCTGAAGGTTGCATTTTCTGTATTCTCTGGATTATTGCATCTCAAGACTCGTTTGCTTTTGAATGGGAGGATGCAGAATGAGAAAAATGCTGACTAAACTGGACAAGGCTCCCTCAATAAGAGTTACAGAGAGTAAACTACTAAAAACATATTCACTGTAGATAATAGACTTTTTTTAAAAAAAAAAAAACCAGAAGTGGTGGTGCACTCCTATAATCCCAGCACTCAGGAGGTTGAGACAGGAGGATTGCTGCAAGTTTGAGACCAACCTGGGAGTTTCAAAAGTGAGCACAAGGCAAGCCTGAACTGTATAGTGAGAGCCTGTCTCAAAAAAAAAAAGATAAGAGGCTTTCTATGTTTTTCAAATTCTTATAAGAGATCTCTGCTAATTGACCTACAAAAAGTTCTGATTAGTCTTTTTATAATTACAAACAAACAAAAAAAGGTTATTACTGCTGGCCCTGCCCCCAGGGCACACTGAGACTGTGATTGAGACTGGGTGTGGTGGTACATGCCTGTAATCGCAGTGTTTGAGAGGCTGCAAATAGTAGGATCACCATGAGTCCAACCTGTCATGAGACCCTGTGGACCCTGTACTAAAATTAAAAAAAAAAAAACTGATAAAAAAAGGTTATTATAGGCTGGGGAGATGGCTCAGTGGAATAAG